ATATATATATACATATATATATATATATATATATATATATATATATTTATATATTATATTATGGTTATTAATAATTAGTAATATTAAACTTACTTGTCAGGATGAATGGCAGACAATACGAATATAAGAACGATGATATCTAAACTTTCAGGCTCAAAAGGAGTTGTCCACGTTTCCTGAGTCACGTCCAAAACAAATGCTTTACATCTAAAACAAACAAATGTATTTACACATTATGTGGCATGGATAACTTACGCTACTATAATTTTTATTAAATAATGTTAGATAAATTTAGACAAATTTTTAGAAAACTTTACCTATCTACATTATATGCAGGATTTTGTTGTAATATATTAATAGCTTTCGCCGAAAAATCACAACAATATATAAACAGTTTCGGGTCTGTATTATACATGAGTATAGGAAATACAGTGTTTCCTACACCACATCCTATTTCTAATATTCTACAGCTATCTTTACATGGTAAATCGAGAATTTTTATGTGTTTTTCACCACATTTTTTATCTTCATCTGTAAATGCAGCTCTCATGGGCCTTTCCATGTCCTGTTTTACGGTATTGGGCGCTAGTTCTGGAAACTCTATCAGCAACCAATGCCTATCTTTAAAAAACCTGCAATAATAAATGTATTAATTAAAAAATTCATTGCACTGATTCATTGTATAAAATATTTAGATTGATTATATTATCTAATATTCTAAACAGTAGAGAAAATATTTTGCTTAGACCCGCATACATACCCGTTATTATGTACTCCATAAAATTTGTCCCAATATTTATCTGCTTCAGTTTCATATTTAAAAAGTTGCTCAGATGATATCGTAACAATGGAATTTTCGTCTACTTTCTGTTGTGCTAACTTCTCTTGTTCTTCATCCCATGTAACATTATCCCTTTTAGAATAGCAAATTCAATCATTAAGTATTCAATCATTAAGGAATATATATATGGAATAAACAAAATTGAGACTTTATTACTTTTCCCAATGAAATACATAATATAAAACAGAACGTATTAGCAATTATAGAAACAGATGATACATATATAATTATGTGATTTTATTATATTTAATATATATAAAATAAATTTAATTTTAATCAATGAAATAAAAATGAAATAAATGATAAACGCTCAAGTAAAAAAAAAAACAAATAACAATCTTTACGTTTCTTAAATTTTACTTGGCTGCATAACAAAATAAATACATGCTTTGTGGGAAAAATGAGGAAAATAAAAATGAAGCATAAAATGTTGGGTATAATATTTATTACGCATGAAATCATATGAAATAACATTACGAAAGTGAATCAGAAACAGTTTCTAGGTTAGAGTATACTTATCATACAACATAAATTGTAGTATAAAATCAATTATCAAATAAAAGAAAAAATATATATATATATTTAAATTTAAATAAAACAATCACAATAAACATGGCGGTGAATATATGTATTAAATTGCATATAAGTTTTAGGCTGAGCACGCGTTCGCGGATCGAATGTCAATTGTCAAGTCGACCGACGTCGCGCGTGAAGCCACGACGTACCATGCATTGTGCCGGAAGATGTTTCCATCGTGCGGTAAATTCCGCGTTCCGAATTGTGGCCTCCTCGTTTCTGGGTCGTCGTTATTGTCCGTGATTGTCGTCACTCCGGCCATATTCGACAGTTCGACGACGCGCCGGCGAAACAGCAGCCTCGTGCTTGTTCCCACACGGAGTATGACATTCTTTTAGACATCC